TGGAAAGGCAGAATTACAGAGAAGAAAGATTTTCTGTCCACTTATTCACTCCCCAAGTGAGTGCAACAGCTGGAGCTCTTCTGGGTCTCCCATGCGAGTGTAGGGTCCCAAGGCTTTGGGCCGTCCGTGATTGATTTCCAAGGCCACAAGCAGGGAGTTGGATGGGAAGTGGAGCGAGTGAGGCATGAACCAGTGCCCATATAGGATCCCGGCATGTATAAGGTAAGAATTTGGCCACTGAGCCATCACGCTGTGCCCAAAGATTCTTTTCATAAACCTTGGCTTTGTACACACCAATGTATACATCATCATCTTGAATAATCCATGTTTGACTGGGATTTGTTTTGTCACAGGCTACCTGAGTGAGGCATAGAATAGAAATTTAAACAGAAATCTCTTGAAATGACAGTCATTTGCTGTTGGTATTTTTCATATGTTTACTTATCTATTAGAAAGCTGAAGTGACGGAGAAATCTGCCCTCTACTGGTTCAGGGCCCAAATACCTGCAGTAGTTGGGGTTGATCTAGTCAGGAGCTTGGAATTCCATCCAGGTCTCCCAGATGGATAACAGGTATTCAAGTATTTGATCTATCATCTGCTGCCTTCCTAGGCACGTTAGAGGGAGGCTGATGGGAAACTGAGTAGCTGGGACTCAGCTCAGCACTCTGACACGGATTGTGTTCAGCTCAATCTACTGTGCCAGATGCCTACCCACTGAAATTCCATTCACTTGTTGTGAAGAAATTTTCCTGTTACAACAAATCCAATTTTGGCAGATCATAAAAGCTAAAGTATAGGAGTGGTGGGGGTTGTGTTTGATATATCAAATGCCGTTTGAGACACCGGCACTCCCCTCTCAGAGGGCCTGGCTTTGAGTCCTACCTCCACTTCTGACTCCAGCTTCCTGAACACTCAGCAGATTTCCCATGTGTGCGAGGTCAGCCTATAGTTCCCGACTCCTGGGTTTTGATCCTGTCCAGCGCTGGTTGTTGTAGTCATAACACAGGTTGAACCAGCACATGAAAGATCTGTCTCTCTGCCTTTCAAATAACAGACTGTGAAAGGGGTGCTATGGTTGATGCCTATCCTCTCCATCCCACCAGCTGTTGTTTTCCTGCGGGCATCTAATGCAATGGAGCACTCACAGGCCACATTCAACAGTAAACTGAAGGCACAGTTCAAGCAAGGCATTTTTTGCCTCTTGATAGACTGGTCTGAATCACTTTTTCAATTCTATCATCAATTCATTCAAATTTACTAATTTGAAAGGCAGACAGACATAAAGAGGGACAGAGATCTTTCATCCAGTGACTCACTCACCAGATGTGCCAGGCCTGTGCAGGAACCTGGGACTCCCTCCATGTCTCCCACATGAGTGGGAGCTTTTCCAGGTACAGTCGCAGGGAGCTGGATCAGGAGAGCAGCTGGGATGAACTGTGTTCCAGTGTGGGATGCTTCCACACAGCACAGCTGCCAGGGATCCAGGCAGAGCCCTGCCACCCTCTGTGACCTGGGGTCAAGCAGCCCTGTGTTGGCATTCTTCAGGTTGAGGTGGTTACAGTAGCAGGTCCATGTGTGAAAAAGGAACACAGCCTTTTGTTGTTGTTTGAAAGGCAGAGAAACAAATATCTTCCATCCATCTATTGGTTCATTCTCCAAGTGTCTGCAATAGCCAGGGCTGGCCAACGCCAATCTGGGAGCCAGGAACTCAGTTCAGATCCTTAGCATGGGTGGTAGGAACCCAGATCCTGGAGTCATCACTTGTGGCCTCCAGGACCTGAATCCAGGTATTCTGATATGGGACATGGGAGTCTTTCCTCCTTCTTTTTAGAATATTTAAAGACAATTACAGAGAGAGATTTCCCATCCACTGGCTCACTCCCCAACTGGCCAGAAGTGTCAGAGCTGAGATAGGCAAAAGTCAGGAGTCAGGATTGTGCTCCAGATCTCCCTGTGGGGGCAGGGGCCCAGCGACCTGGGGCATGCTCTGCTGCCTCTGCTAGGTGATTCACAGGGAGCTGCAGTGGAAGTGGAGCAGCTGGGACTCTGAAGCACCAAGGCCTTGCTCTTCCAAGGGTTTACATTTTTCCTTGTAACCAGACATTTTTGGCATCTGAATTTAAGACGGGGACTTTGAAAAAAAAAAGGGGAAATGTGCACTGTCTTTTGATTCATTTACCTACATGCTTTGTGCAGCGTCTCCATCTTTCCTTGAGATAAACATAGTAAAGGACCCGGCGTGATAGCATAGTGGTCAAAGTCCTTGCCTTGAACTCACCAGGATCCCATAAGGGCACTGGTTGATGCCTGGTTGATGGAAGCAGTCCTGCTTCCCATCCAGCTCCCTGCTTGTGGCCTGGGAAAGCAGTTGAGGATGGCCCAAAGCTTTGGGACCCTGCGCCCACATGGGAGACCCAGAAGAGGCTCCAGACTCATGGCTTCAGATCGGCTCAGCTCCAGACGTTGTGGTCACTTGGGGAGTGAATCATCACACAGTGATCTTCCTCTCTGTCTCTCCTCCTCTCTGTAAATCTACTTCCAATATAAATAAATAAATCTTAAGAAAAAGAAAAAACCATAGTAAAAGAGTAGCTCCAGAAAGCAGGGTGTTTCCTTATCACCCTGCCCGCTTGCCTGCTGGATGACAGAATGGGAAAGTGGAGAGGCCATGACCTCTGGGTTACCTGCCAAGCACCTTGGGCTCTAGGTAGGCATCCATCCTCCCACCAGCTAGCACCTGAGGGCATGGGAGGGGCGACCATGCATATGCGTGTCCAACCTACCTGGTGTTGGCAGCAGCGTAAGCAGACATTAGACTTGGTTACAAGTGTGCTCAGGCATGCAAGAGAAAAGCAGATGCGGCCGGCTAACCAGGCCTGACCCCAGGAAAAAGCTGCACAGGTATTTGTGGTAGTGAACTTTCCTGAATGAGTTTAACTTTTTGTAAAAAAGATGTTGACAGATGGTGGTTCTTAGTTTTATTTTTAATATTTTCTGACAAAAAGATAAATATAAACATTTGATCCTTGTGTAGCAGTCTTCAAATTACAAAGAAGCAAAAATACAGTCTATTTAACGAGATGCACAGAAGCCCTCACCTAAAGTTTGAAAAATACTGCCTCTGGCCATCACCACCTTCCAGGGTGGGTGATCTTGGGCCGCTGTGCCCTGAGGCCAGGCTCTGGGACACCCTCTGGCATGCCACGCTGTGGCAGCTGCCCAGCCAGGCCCGATCCAGCCCAGTGCCAGGGAGAGCAGACAGCAGGACACCAGGACAGCCTGCATTTCACCTCTTCTTCACAAACTTCTTCCTGGAAGCGTTGGGATTTAAGCGTCTCCGCCCTCCTCCCAGGGCACTGTCCCGGAGCTGCAGAGCAGCTGAGCGGCTGGAGATGTCGTTCTCAGCGAAGGGGGACAGGCCGGCCACATAATCAGGGGCAAACACATTGGTTTTCTGCCGGGCCTTGCGGGAGAGTCGCAGCTGTGGGAAGCGCTGGTCTTCAGTCAGGTGAGGGTTGGTGGCATACTTGCCCCCCTTGGGCATGGGGAGTGAATACTGAAAACAGAACATCAGGGTCAGATGCCACCAGTAGCAGGCTCACCTCACTGATCGGGGGCAGGCAGCCACGGCCAGACCTGACTGCCTGGGGACATACGACTGCGCAGGGGATTCAGCACAGGGCTGAAAAACCTGGGGTTTAACGGTTTATTAGTTAGGATGGAGGCAGCCACTCACCCGCAATCCTCGTGGATTCAGCACCTTGGGGTTGCGGGAAAAGTGCATGTGCAGGGTGCCATCGTCACTGACAGTCACTGACACCTTCTTTAGGGTCTTGTTCCCACAGTGGGCACAGAACACTCGGCTCATGTCAGATGTCGTCCTGGGAGGCACAAAGGGAGATGCGGGGCCATGCATGCAAAGCCCATCTGCAGAACACACGGGGGACAGGCTGTGTGCCTCCCCCATCCCCCTGCATGGACACCAAGGCTTTCCTCCTGCCTGGAAAGGCCACCTTCTGCAGTGGAAGGGTGGATGTTGCACAACCACGCTGGACAGTGTCAGGCATCTTTCCAAACTCATGCTCAGACAATTCTAGGAGGTGGGCACTGCCTCCACTGTACAGATGGGAAACTGTATCAGGTCCAAGGTGACACATAAACCCAGGCAATGTGGCTCCAGAATAGCAATGAATTTTCCAGATCTTCACCTCAGCTCTAACCATTTTGTCCCCAGTGTGAGCCTAGGCGTGAGCTCGAGGGAGAGCAAGAACTTCTAATGCATGACCCAGTGAACACTGTAAGCCTGCCAAAGGTGAGCTCTGTGTTGAAGCAGCCCCAGCTGCTGCTCGGGACGCCCCCATGCCATGTCGGGCTGCCTGGTTCCAGTCCTGGCTACTCTGCTTCTGATCCAGCTTCCTGCTACTATACCTAAGGACTTGGGCCTCTGCAGCCAGGAAAGAGACATGGGTGGGGTTCCAGGCTTCTGGCTTCAGAGCCTCACCACTGTGGGAATCTGGGGAGCGAGCCTGGACATGAAATTTTTCTCTTTGCCTTTCAAATAAACATTTTAAAAACAAAGCCCAATCCTGGCTCTGTGGACCTATGTGTGGCTCTTGAGGGCAGCCTCTGAGGCCTGGTTGCCTCCTGTCCCCTAAAGCTACCAGCAGGCAGAGGGAGAGCTGTGTCACATGGCTGGAGAAGCCCAATTCCTTATCTGCTAGCCACCCCATCATGAACTCCTTGCCTACACACAGGGGCTAAGAGCTAATAATCCCACCAGGAGGGCTGGTCTCACAAGAACAGGGAATAGTTCACATGATGGCAAGACCAGGCCAATCTGTCGCCTGCTAGCATCAGCATCCCACTTGGGCAGTGTTTCATGTCCTGGCTGCTCCACTCCCCATCCAGCTTCCTACTTGGATTGGCTCAGCTCCAGCCACTGTCGCCATTTGGGGAGCAAAGCAGTGAATGCAAAATCTTTCTTTCTCTTTTTCTCTATCTCTGTAAATCTGCCTTTCCAATAAATATAAAAAAAGAAACAGTGTTAATTTGGGGAATCTAATATTTTCATACAATTTGCAGGCAAGGGGAGATGCTTGGATGGAGCAAAGCGCTCAGTGGTCAGGAACCCGGGACCCTGAAGCATGGGGTGAGCATCAGCCGTGGGTACGTTCAGAACACAGCGGCCGCTTTGGGAGAGGCTCCTGAAGTCCTGGCAGAACCAGAGGATGGTGCACGAGTGACTGATTCCCTGGTTAATGCTGAGACTCTGGGAGCATGACCGCCCTCTCCCGAGCATCTCCTCCCAACAGTGCAAAAAGCTCTGGACGCCGAACAAGACAGCCAGAAGCCTCCCAGCTGACCTACACAATGGCCAACGAGGCCAGACTGAGCCTGTAGTGTGCTGGAAGCTGCCCTGGAGCCACACATGTCAACAGCAAAGCCACTTCTCCACTACTACAGGGGCTCTCTGGATCCACCACAAGGAGTGCCAATTCAAGAGTCAGAATAAATGCAGAGAACTGAGTCAGCCCAATGGCACTGTCCACCTGCTAGACGACGCACTAAGCCCTTGAGGGGTCCACCTCCCAGGCCCACTGAGGCATCCAAAGCACAGACCAAGTTGACTCACTCTTGCCACAACCAGAACTGGATCTGAACCCATGGACTCTGGACTCAGGGTTCACTGCTTTTTGTTTTTGTTTTCCTTTTCAGGACTTATACAGAAGAGTATGGCTAATGTCATGTTCTCATTACCAGCTTCAACAACTGTCAACTTATGGCCAATCTTGTCTCTTCTTACCCCTGCTCCCTCCTTCCATGAGTGTATTTTAAAGCAAGTCACAGACACATTCCAACTGTATGCATTTCAGTGGGGCAGATGCTGGGCATTGTGGTTAAGATGTTGATGTCCCCAGTAGCGTGCCTGGGCTCAAGTTCTGGTGACAGGCTCTGTCTAGCTTCCTGCTAAGGGGGACAGGAGATGCCCTGAGCAATTGGCTGTCTGCTGCCAGCAAGCAAAACCTGTCCAGGGTTCCTGGCTGGGGCCTGGTGTAGTCTCAGCTGTTGGAGGCGAGTAGGGAGCTCTTCTTAACAAATGATAAAGAATGAGGAGAGCTGAGGCCACATGGAAATGACGGGATGGATGAAACCTGTGGATAGCAGGTTCCTTGTTCAAGAACTCTGAAGAAGGGACAGGAGCGTTCAACAGAGGGGACCCAGACCCGGATTTTGGTGACTTACTTGAAGCAGCCATGGCAGCGCAATATGTAGCTCCGGGCCTCACGGATCAGCATGCCGTTCACCGCCAGCACATGCAGCCCCATTTGCAGCAGAACGTTCTACAACCAACAGTTAAAGAACTGAGCCACACTGTCTTTTAATGTGAATCTGCTATTGCAGCTGAGGGGCTATGCATACCCTGGTTTGTCTCCTGACCCCTGGCCAAGGATGAGTCAGGCTGGGATATCTCTCAAAGTATGGACATGAGGACCCAGATTTCCTTCTGATGACCCATGCTGGGGTGTGTACTCCCCAGCAGCAGTCTCCACATGCAGACACCTGCTATAGCTGGGCAAACACACTCCTTGCTAGCTGGAGACCCTCTCAGCTTTTCCAGGTGCCTAACCAAGCTTGGAAGATGACACCCCCAAGCCCCCATGAAAGTAGCAAGCGAGGAGTATTAGACATTAACCCAAACGAGTTCTGCCAGTGTGCCATGACTGTCTCGCCTCCAAACAAAACCACAACTGCCTGAGGAGCACAGGAGAAGACCCCCACCCCTTCAGCTTCCACAGGGCTGTAGCAGGGGACTTGCAGGACCCAGCCCAGCCCCCCACCTGCATGGCAAAGTCTGTGGTCACACAGCCAACTCGCACATCCTTGGGGACGTCGCACTGCTCCAGCTCCTGCTGGACCTGCTTGATGTTGCTGGGGGTGATCCAGCCACCATCGTCATCACTGTCCTCTTTGCTTTCTTCAAATCCATTTTCCTCTTCTTTCTCTTCTTGCTCCTCCCTGGGATCATCCTCACCTTGGCCCATCTGAAATGCCAAGAGAAGCCACAACTCCGAGCCCATAGCAGCAGCAGGGAGAGACCGCAGCACTGCCCACAGTAGATGCCCAGGGCCTTACCATCAGCTCCTGGAGCTCCTGGTCAATATTGGGCAGTGGGTTTCTCCAGAACATGAAGGAGCTGAATGCCGGGTCCTCGGGTTCCTGGGCTTGCTGTCCTTGGTCCACTGTGTCTTGTGGGTGCTTGGACTGAGGTGAAAAAAAATCAGCTTAAAATCCGAAATGAGGAGTGACAGATGAACTCACGCAACGAGCTAGTCTGATTGGACAGAGCTGGGTGAATGACTGCTGGGTCTGCCGTGAGCAGTCGGCAGCAGGAATGGCACCTAGGACAAGTACACTTACCTTGGAAGGCAGATGGAAACCCAAAATGTGAAGAGGAGTTTCGGGGTGCTGAATGGATGAGCTTACTTTAGCCTTTAAAAAAACAAAACACACACACACATTTTAAAGACCAGATCTGAATAAGGAAACCCACACTGGAAATTCAGTATGAAAGAGTAATTAGGAATAAAAAAAAAAGTATTTTTCCCTTGGCTATTGAAATCAAAGATATGCAGTACAACCACTCTGTGCCGTTGTAGAGATGCCTGGAGGAGCATCATTATCTGTGACACCCAGAAGAATCTCGGGTCCCCGAGGATCAACACGTAAGTTTGTTAAAGCGATTTCCTTCACCACCTCCTGCCCATGACTATTCATTCGGACAAGGTCTGGGCTCCGATCTGGAGGACTGGAAATGTGGTAAGAAAAAGGGAGGGCAGTCCCGACCAGCTCAGCAGTGGGAGCCCATGAGGTCCTGAAGACTTCAGGCAGCAGAGACCAAGAACTGGGGCTAGAGTTGTGGTGTAGTGCGTCCTACTATTCCATTTCTAACAATGCTCCCCGGAGGCGGCAGATCACGGCTCAAGCGTGTGGGCCCCTGACACCCTCGTGGGAGACTCACATGGGATTCCTGGCTTTGGCCTGACCCAGACTGGCAGTTGCACATTATTTTTTCCTTTCACTCTGCCTTTCAAGTAGATATAAAAAACCCCAGTTTTATTCTTTCTGCATTTTCCAAATTTAAACGTTTCCTCCAAAACTGCAAATCCAGACCCTCAGACACATTTGCTACCTATAACAAATAAACCTTGTCTGGCTCCAGATCCAAAATAATTCACATTTATAAAATATGTTGGGAAGGCAAACACTGACTGGCTACTAGATGACGTAGGAGAAATTATCTCCTACACTGTGTTGGAGAAATGTATGTTTTACACCCACACCCCAAAACAGCAATTGAGAAAATAATTCATGATTTTTTTTTTTCAGAATGCCTTTAGGACTGGCCGGGGGTCAGCAGACTGGCCCAGATGGCTGAGATGCTAACTGTGGGGACCACTGGTTGATGGGAATGCTACACGACTCTCCCCGCATTTGCAGTGCTGACAGAGCCAGCCTCCCAAGGTACCTTTTCAGGTTCTTGTTTCAGGTGTGACACCCCAACGAACTCTGCTTCCAGCTGGTAGGTGAGCGCCAGCACCTGGATGTCAGTGGCAGAGAGGCTGGGGTAGTCTCCGGTTTTCTTGGAGAACTCGGTCACTGTGGAACAGACAAGGACAGTGGCAGTTACACGCCAAAGCCCAATGCCCCAAGTAGCCTTGATGGAAGTATTGGGAAAATATGGAACGGTCACGAAAGCTGAAGAAACTTCAACCCTCCCACCCATCCCTTGGCCCTTTTCTGTTTCCAAGCTGAGAAATAAGCGACGTTTGCTGTACTGTCCTCCCCTCCCCAGGAACAGAGCTCACAGACTCGACACAGAGCTGGTGTAATAGCTGCCCATGATGCAAGTTCTTTATTGGAATGTTGGGATCATAAACTTCAAAAACGTGTGAAAAGATAGGATTAAAAGGTAAGTTCAGGGACCTGTTGCAATAGCCTAGTGGCTAAAGTCCTCGCCTTGCATGCACTGTGATCCCATATGGATGCTGGTTCCTATCCCGGCAGCTCCACTTCCCTTCCAGCTCCCTGCTTGTGGCCTGGGAAAGCAGTCGAGGACAGCTCGGGACCCTGCACCCGTGTGGGAGACCTGGATGAGGCCCTGGCTCCTGATTGGTGCAGCACCGGCCGTTGCGGTCACTTGGGGAGTGAATTATCGGATGAAATGTTCCTCTCTGTCTCTCCTCCTCTATGTATATCTGACTTTCCAATAAAAAAAGTAGATCTTTAAAAAACAAAAAGAGTTAACAAGTTGGGATGCCCGCCTCCAGAACAAACTGTCTGGTGCCAGTACCGGATGCTTGTGACCCAGCTGCATGCCAATGTGCCCGGGGAAGGATGCCATCCAGCCACAGGGGACGTGGGGAACAAGTCCTTCCCGGCTTTGGCCTGGCACAGGCCTGGGTGTTTGACGGGGACAGCTCTCTGTCACTCCAGCGTGCGGCCCGCGGCACTCACCCAGGCGCACGTACTCCGGGTAGGGCTCCTTGAACCGCAGCTCGTAGGGCAGGACCGCCAGCCGCCTGCGCGTGGCCTTGTCGCGAATCTCGTTGACCACGTCGCGGATGGTGTAGATGTTCTTCCCGATGTCCTGCGTGGAGATGGGCGCGTTGCACCCGATTTTATCACGGGCGCTGCCTCGGGGAGACCGCCGCACCGATCGCAGAAGCCCGGGTCCCTCCCTCCAGGCCCGGGTTCCATTCCTCCTGCCGCACACCCGGCCCCGAGGTCTCAGTACCTGCAGAGCCGCGTCCCGCAGGAAAGCCCCAGCGTCCGCCACAACGTGCTCCACCGGCGCCATCTTGGAGGGCGAGCCGCCAGCACGCGTGCGCGCGGAGCTGACGCCCGAATCCTGCGTCCCGGCCCGGGCGTGGGCGGAGATGGAGGGGCGCCACCTGGCGGCTGCGCGCGGCTCTCCCGGTTCGGGGCTGCCCGTGGGAAGACACCGAGAAATGGGTGAAGGTGAGGGATTTAAAAAAAAAAATTCAGGTGAGAGGCGAAGAGACAGATCTTCCATTTCCTGGTTTATTCCTCAAATAGCGCAGGAACTGCATCTGGGTCTCCCCATATTGGTGACAGGAGCCCAAACAGGAGGGTCCTCATTTTCGCAGGGAGCTGGATCAGAGGCAGAAGAGATGAGTATGGGATGACTCCAAAACAGGGACCTTAATCCCCTGTGCCGCAACACTGTCCCTTCCTGGCTTTTAAGTGTGATGTCTGGGTGCCGCCCTGCAATGCCCGGTTCCACAGTGCTCCACTTCTGACCCAGCTCCCTGATAATGTGCCTGGGAAGGCAGTAGAAATGGCCTGCTTACTTGGGGCAGATGCCACCCACGTGAGAGACCTGAGGAGTCGTCAGGTGGCTTCTTGCCTTGCTCTCGTTCCTGACTGGCCTTGTCAGTTGGGTCTAGCAGTTAAAGGTCTTGTTTATAAATAAAAAGTTATCAGATACAGTTGTGACAAATCTGATCATCTGTATTGATTTTTTTTTTTTGCATGAGGACATGTACAAATTTTACATATGCCAGCCCCTGTGCTGTACTTTGTGTAGAACACAAACCACCTGCTTCTGCCTGCACCATGGGCACCTGTGCCAGTCCCTGACACCTGCTGGGAGAAGGAAGCAGGCATTTATTTCATAAAGGGCAGAGCAAAGTGAAGGGCAGCTGTTGCTGAACTCCCTGAGGGGTCCAAAGTGGTGAATGTATGGATGAAAGCAGGGCTCAGGCAGTGTGTGGCCATCCCATGTGCAGGTCTCTGACTGGTCCATGGTGTGTGTGACCTGGTCTAGGTCTGTGAGAGGAGGATGACAAGGAGAGGTGAACTTCTCCAGGGTCTGCAGGTGTACTGCTCATTACCCGGTTAGAGCAGTGATGGGGTACCAACCATGGAGGTAATACCTGAATTTTCAGCCTTGATGATGTGGGGTCTAGCAGAGCTGGCCTGATCTTTGTGTCACTCTCTTTAATGAGTGAGCTACTCTTTAACAAGGAATTGACTTGCCATCATTACGTGCAGAAGGAGGAACTACAAACTGAAGGAGAGAAAGTAGGGCCTGATAAAGTCTACATCAGAGGCACTGGGGCCAGGGGCTTAGCTTCTTCTTTAAGATGATTTATTGATAAGGCAGTGGTACAAATGGGGCAGGGCGGGGGGGAAGAGATTCCATCAGCTGATGGACTTCCCAAATGGCTACAGTGGTCAGAGCTGTTTCAGTTCTCTCCTTGGGGAATACTGCCTACCCTCAAGGCCTCGGTGACTGCATTAGAAGAACACTTCCCAGGGCTGGGGCTTTGGGCAGTGGTTGGGATGGCCACATCTCACACCACGTTTCTGCACTGAAGTCTTGGTCTGACCCACAGTTCTCGCTGCCTGCGCATGTCCACCCTGTGAGGCAGCAGAGCAGAGAAGGGCATCACATGGAAGATCAGGATTGAATTCCAGACTCCTGGCTTCTCCCTGACTCAAGCAGAAGTGGGGAGCAAACCAGCAGATGAAATTCTCTCTTTCTCCCTTTAGGTATACCTCTCAAATAACTTTGACAAAGGAACAATGTCCCAAAGGCTTATGTCCAATTGCAGCCTTATTCCCTAACCTACCTTTTCTGGGAACCTCCATCTGAAAACTTCGGGCATTTTCATTTAGGAAGAAGGTTAAGGTTCTCCTGTGTGCCTCAAGCTTTCTCTACAATTGTTAAAGTTCTTCCTCCCCCGACCCCTTTTTTATGGAAGGCATTACCAACAAAAGTATTCGAGCAAGGACTCATTCCTCTGATTAGATCTCACTGATGCTGAGGCTGGAATGATGCTGGCATTGGAATTGTCTGCAGGACTGTTGTAACCAGGTCACCGGGCCTTGGGCCCTTGTCTGACTGGAAGGGCTGGGTGGTGCATCGTGCTGGTGCTGCTGACCTGAGGGCTGTACGATTGTGACCACTGATCTAGGGGAATAGCCAGAAGAAAGAAAAGATTAGGATTCCTGGGATTTACATGCCAGGAAACACCAAGGATAATTATTAATAGAAAAAGGTTCTTGACATTTTGTACCCGGAGGGCATTTTTCACTCCTTTTTATGCCTATAACAGTCCCAAAGCTCCACCACCTCCAAAGCCTTAGCAGGGTCCCCATATAGCCTGCAAACACACATTCGGCTATTTTATTCTGTCACAGGTTGTTGACTGTTACAAAAGCTCTGAGCAGAGTGGGGGATGTGTACTGCTGGGGAGTGCCTTCAGTGTCAGAGTTGATCGTGAAAGCTCACCAGGGCAAAGGTTTTGAGGTGTGGAAATCCAGGGAGGGGTTTTTTTTTTTTTTAAAGATTTATTTATTTATTGGAAAACCAGATATACAGAGAGGAGGAGAGACAGAGAGGAAGATCTTCCGTCCAATGATTCACTCCCCAAGTGAGCGCAACGGCCGATGCTATGCCGATCCGAAGCCAGGAGCCTCTTCCGGGTCTCCCACACGGGTGCAGGTTCCCAAAGCTTTGGGCCGTCCTCGACTGCTTTCCCAGGCCACAGGCAGGGAGCTGGAAGGGAAGCGGGGCTGCCGGGATTAGAACCGGTGCCCATATGGGATCCCGGGCGTGCAAGGCGAGGACCTTTAACCACTGCGCCACCACGCCGGGCCCCCAGGGAGGGTTTTGAGTACTCAGTTTTCATAAGTGCCCCCCTCCTTTGGTTTATTTTCTTGACAAGCACAGTGACAGAGGGAGAGGCAGATCTTTCACTCACTGGACCGACTGTGCCAGGTTGGTTTGTAAATATTTATTTATTTTAATTGGAAGGGCAGTTTTACAGAGAGAAGGAGAAGCAGAAAGTTCTTCTATCTGCTGGTTCACTCCCTGAATGGACACAGCAGTTGGAGCTGAGCTGATCCTAAGCCAGAAACCAGGGTCTTCTTCCAGGTCTCCCATGCAGGTGCAGGGTCCCAAGGCTTTGGGCCATCCTCAACTGCTTTCCCAGGCCACAAGCAGGGAGCTGGATAGGAAGTGGAGCTGCCAGGACTAGAACCGGTGCTCATATGGGATCCTGGCACATGCAAGGGGTGCATTTGGCCACTGAGCCACGGTGCTGGACCTGGGTCCCAGGCTGGATTTTAACTTTATGGGGCCTGGTGTGGTGATATTTCACACTAATCCTCTGTCTGTGGCAACCAAGTGCAACCTCGCCTGTGCATCAGTCCCTATGTTTGAGGTTAGATTTTCACCCAAGGATAAATTGAAACTTTTCTTTTTTTCTCGCCATATTTAGAAGAAGCTTGTTTTTGTCATTTACTGAGATGTTATTGTTTGTGTCTTGCAGTCAAGTCAACACAAATTCAAGCGGCCCAATGGAATTTGATTTTTGACGATCAAAGCTTATTTATTTATTTTCTTTTAGAAGTAGAAGCACGTCCCATGCCGTATGATGGAGCAGACGCAGATCTGAGATTTTATTTTAAGTTATGGAGCTCAAATATTCGTAATTTGTTGACTCCATCGAAATAGGTGTTCTTTGCACCTGTAAAATGGGTCTGTATCATAGCACGCACCTCTCCCGGTTGCCGAGCAGATTGAAGGCAGCGTCTGACACTCGGGGAGCGCTCAATTTATACGACCGCTCGGGGAAGCATCCGGCGGGCGGCCAACGCTCCCGATTAAACACGCGGACACAGAGGACCGGGGAAGAACCTCGCCGCCCAGGCCTAGGTGGCTAGCACCTGAGCGCCCGGCCAGCCTCTTCCGGGTCAGGTGACCGCGCGCGGCCACGTGACCCGGCCCGAGTGCGGGCGGTGGAAGGCGGAAGTGGGAGAGGAGTTGAGCGCCGCTTCTCGGGCCCGGGCAGGTAGCGAGCGCCGGCGCGGGGGGCGCGGCGGGCGCGGCGGGCGGCGCCGAGCGGGCCGGGGGCGGCGGGCGGCGCGCGGGGGGGACCCGGCCTGCTGCGGGGGGCAGCGGCGCGGCCCGGGCGCCGGGGGGCGGCGGCTTCCTGTGGGAGGGGCCTGGCGCGGCGGTTCCGGCCTCCGAGGAGGGGTGTCCCGGCTCCCGCCCGAGCGGGGTGGGCGCGCCGGGGCGGCCGCGGGCTGAGCGGCCGGGGAGCCGCGATCCTCCGGGAGCCGAGTGGGCGGACCGGGGAGGCGTCTGTGAGGCTCTGCAAGGGGGAGTCTCTGAGAGGGGAAGGGTTGCAAGTCGGGGAGCTGCTGCCCGACCTCAGGCCGTCTTCCCTGCGGCATCTTGGGGCAGGCTCGTGCTTGGAGACTTTGATTTCGGTCCTTGCCAGTCTGTAAACTTCTGGGGGGTGGATCACAGACTCTTGCCCTCGGCACACCCACTTAGTCCTGCAGGTGTAGGGTTTCTGCTTCTTGGCTTGGGAATCTAACCATTCCAGATCATCTTTTCTTTGAGAATATAAATATAAATTTATATATATTTGCCTCATCAAGTCGCGCTCAGGGCTTGAAAAAGAAAGCAGGGGGCTCGTTGCTCTGGCTGTAGGGAGGTTTCAGCTTACCCTCTTGACCCTGACCTAGCCCAGACGCTGGACAGAACCGCCTTGGCCTGTCTGCGGACAACTTTCTCTCTGGTTTAAATTATTCAACTTCCCTGACCATGTGACTGCTTATCTGGACAAGCTGTAACTAGGTGGGGTCACCTAGAGGTCTGAGTCGTGTGTGTGTTCCTTCTCCCGACCTGCTGCGTGATGTTGAGATGAAATACCGGTGTGGGAGCCGTTCATCTTCTTCCTTCTACAAACGTTTGCTGAAATGTGCAGAAGCCAGGCTCACAAATGCAAACTTGGGAGCCCTGAGTCATTGTGGGTGACCAGTAAG